CCTATGACGTATCGAGGAGTAGACAGTTTACAACATTTACATGTTCATTAACATTAGCCAATAGTAGTGGCTGATGAGAGCGGTTAGGAGTAAGCCCGCTAGTTTGACATCAGTCTAGACCCGGATCCCAGCTGAAGCTTCGGTCCCAATTGCGCCGTTGCCCGTCGGTGATGTAGCCCCTGCCCGCCCCGGTCGGGCTCAGGAGTCGGGCGGGCATCGGCTGTCGTGGTCACAATTAAAAGTTTCCTTCAGTAGCATTTTTTTAATGTTCTCACCCTCTTTGGTCGGTCTCCGGCAGGCACCCGGCAGGTACCCGGCAGCTTCTCTGACGATGTACTGACCTATACGTAATGCAGAATTCACACCTTTATTCTGTTCATCTGGTCTGTGACGTAACAAATGTCCCGGTGGACTGCCGGCAACCGGAGGGGTACCTGTCGGTCTTCTCACGGTGAGGTCATGGCGTCTTTTTGTCAGCGGGGCCCGGGTCGAATTTAAGTCAGAATTAGATTCTTCTCGAGTCCCGGACGGGCCCCTAAATAGCCCCGTAGCCGCAGGGTGTCCCGAGGGGCCACGTAGGGGCCACGCCCGAAAGTGCCATAAACAGCCCTGGAACTACCCGACAGGGCCCCTTTTTTCAATTGGGGCCGAAGCATTAGTGAACACACATTAGTTAGCTCCGCTGTAATTGTATATATGTAATTAGCAACTAGACTTGTATCGGGCATATCCGTATCTGTAGACTTGTAACTAGACTACTGTTGTGTGTCTGTTGGAACTAGTAGTTTCTCTGTTCAACATTTAAACACAATGCTGCTTTTTAATAGAACAATCCTTGCAACTTCTTGGCGAGTTTTCGCACCTTGCATGGTCATGGGGTGATCCGGGTACTCATCTCGGACTATGGTCATGACTCGGGGCGTCGGGGGGTCTGCTGCAAGAAGAACCTGTTTGCGCATGGATCACAAGAAGAATAAACATGTATCAATTTATAGTAAAACATTGAACTTTATTCCAACACAAGGGTTACAGAGCGATCAAATTTTCGACGACCACTGTCGTCTTCATCAGGATAATTAATGACCAATCACTTCACAACATGATCTCGCGAGAGTTACGGTTTACTGGCAGTTAAGTCTCGTGAGAATAAGGTCACGTGTTTGTAAACCGTATCTCTCGCGAGATCACGTTGTGAAGTGATTGGTCATTTATTATCCTGATGAAGACGACAGTGGTCGTCGAAAATTTGATCGCTCTTGTGTTGTGTTGGAATAAAGTTCAATGTTTTACTATGATTACTACCAACACAGATGAACTTTCATTATAATGTATCAATTTAATTATTCTTTAAGTGCAATATAGTCTTACTTGTAATTGTGGCAAAATTTCACGTGATGGAATTTCCTTGAAGTGATGTGATCTGTTACTTTATCCCTAGAGCCATTTTCCTTCGAATTCTACTGGAAGGAATCAACGTTTAACACAAACGTACACCATGATGATAAGCCCGCTATCCTTCCTTCTGTGGCGTTGGCACCGGTCAGTCGTCAACCAATCAGACACACTAACCCTGCTGTTATTGGAGGGACATTTACCAGCCAATCACATTTAAAGTACATACATATCATATAAATTTTTGCGCCATAAATGTAAACATAAATAATTGAAATTTTCTCCTTTGGATTGTTATTTTCAATAACTTTCAACATATTAGCGTCGCTATTTCGCTTTTTCGGCGACTCAGCTCAGCGCGAGGTAAAAGGCTCCTAAAAAGAATGGCTGCGATCCCGACTAGCGCAGAGGAGGTGGCAGTTTTCCAACCTTTTTTCGGCGCAACGATGTTGATCGTTTTACTCTCCAATGTCATTATGAACCCAGGTAGGCTCATAGCGCAAGGAAATGTGTAAAATAATGATTTTTAAAAAAGTACGTCTTACATAACCGCATGATAGCATCCTCCCTCACCTGAGCAAACTCCCCGCTGCAGATACTTGCTCGCCAGTCCGGTTTGTCCACACAGCCCGGGTGCCTGACCAGGTGGTTGTCCTGTCTGACCACGTACGTGTCGGGGTAGCCGGTCACGGTCCCGTCCAAGTCGTGAAAGATCTGGTTCTTATCGCCATCCTTGTCGGTCGACATGAAGGGAATGTCTTCTCCAGTAGTGAAGACGCGGGTTTTTACCTAAGAAAGTGCAAGTGGTAAGAAATAAGACAAGTTTTTTTTTAAATGGAGATTACGGATTTCCGGGAGTATTTTTTCGTGACCTTCAAGTTCACAGGCCTTCTGAGCAAGATTTGTAGGTTTTCGTGAATGTATTGGAACTGTGTGTGTGCGTGGGGGGGGGTTATAAGGTGCAATTTAATCGGGGTTTACACCACTCCCTTCAGACCTTCGAGGACGTATAGCCAAGACGCTACTTCCTGAATTCCTCCATATACCACCCACTTACTCCCACTGAGTAACCTTTCCACGTGGCCCCTATCAATCAACTGTCAAAATCATCTCCCACCGTCCATGCACCTGAAGCGATTAGGACAGAGCTCAACCCACAAACCCACGACTAAACCACCTAGAACAATACTTTTTTAAAGTAATCAGTAGAAAACTTGTGTGCTCACATCTTCAAACTTCAAGTCCGTAACGTTGTTTTTCGGAGTCATGTGCCAGTCGTTTGTGAGACGGAAGCCGATGGCGCTACTATAGCGGTCGTGCTCGGGAGCTGCGGCGTACTTCTTTAACGTGCAGCTTTTATATATGGTCGGGCCGTCGTAAATGTCAATTCCTCGCATGGGGAAGGTTCTATGGAAAGAAAAACAAAAACTGTGTGGTTCAAAATACCTTCAAGAATGCATAATTTTATACTTCCGACCCATTATTGAAAATAATAAGACTCATGCAACTTCCTATTGTCCGGTCATTATCAAGTTAGAAATCAAGCCCCTCCTTCCGGTACATGACTTAATGGACACGTGACACAAGCAGTTGAAGCAGTTTGTGGCGCCCTCCGTCACAGCTCATGGGTGGTTTGAGGTTCTTGGTCTTACAATTTCTATCACTGCCCTGACATATATTTCGTGGTCAAAACTTAAAATTTATTCAGGGAAACATAGCATCACGACATTTCTACTTCTACTTCAACTAGCCCAGAAACAGACGGAGGGCGCTACAAGCTTCTAGTACTTAAGTTTTGCTCGGGAAGATTCTCTCCACGGGCGTGACTCCTCCCACTCCCCATGACGGAGGACGCTACAAGCTTCTTGGTACTAACGTTTTCTTCGGGAAGCTTCTGTCCACGGCCTTGACTCCTCATACTCCCCATGACGGAGGACGCTACAAGCTTCCTGGTACTTACGTTTTGCTCGGGAAGCTTCTCTCCACGGGCGTGACTCCTCCCACTCCCCATGCCGACTCCGGCGTCTTGGTGCCGACGTTCGCGCTCTCTCCCACCAAAATGCTGTTCCACATCTGCTGGGTAGCGCCAACGTCTCTCGGGAAAAATCCAGAACTTTGAAAATGGAAAAAAAGAAACATAGATGTTAAATACACTTAGACACACGAACACAAACACGCACACACACACACACACACACACACAGGTACACACACACACACACAAACACACACATACGTACAAACACATACACAAACACACCACACACACACGTATGTGATCCATAGAAAAGGCTACTTTAAATGAGGTGAACTGTAAAGGAGCCTGTTAACATACTGGACTTTTCAGTTACTCACCTTGCCATCGTTATAGCGACGCCGTTGTCAACAAAGCTGAAAAACACATTTCCTCATTGATGTAAATCGGATAATTGGAAAAAGAAATATTTCAGTAATTCTACAGTGAGATTGTAATATTTTGTGAAGTTTCTGAAGTAGTGGTTTTTTAATTACAAATCAAGGAAGTAGCAGCTGTCGTTCCCCGCACTACCACATGGGGGCGTAATTGTTCCACAATGAACAGTGGAGCAGAAACAAGCTTGCTCATCAACAAATGGCGGTACATCTGGCAGTATGTCTACAGTGAGTTTGTGATATTTTGTAATATTTTTCAATAGTTTGCCGGCCCACAAACGGTAACCTGGATGGCTAAACTCCCTCGGCGTGTTATCTCTCTATTTGGCCAATTTCTATTATTTCCAGCCGCGCCCTCAAGCCTGGTAGAGGCTACAGCTTCTGTAGTGGTTTTTGATTTACAAATGAAGGAAGTAGCATATGTCGTTCCCTGCAATACCGCATGGGGGCGTCATTGCTCCACAACAGTGGACCAGAAACAGTGTTGTGAATCAACAGGTAGCACTACATACGCGCATTTATCGTGCCAGATGTCCCCGCCCCTGATCCAGGCGCCGACCTGGTTCTTGTAGGCAATCAGTCCGACAATCATGGCGGGCTCACGCGGCTGGTCAAGGTCGGCGTTCTGGTGGGGATAGTACCTAAAGGGAGAGTTTCAGTGCCAGTCAATTATGTTTACATTCGACGAAGAAAAACATATTGTTTTTGCTCTATTTCCTCTCCTCAAAACTGAAAAGGTCAATGACCGGAACCAGACTGTCTGTTACCATGGAAACTAGTGTTGGGCTACATCATGTTGCAATTTTATAGCAGGAGGGATTTAGACTCCTGTCTGACCATATATATGAATGTGTGTTGAGCAAGAATTAACCGAGTAGACCATATGCGAAGGTAACCATTATGCGTTTGCTTTGCAAATATTACCTTTCTAGTTTATTGTACATTTATGCGCTTACAAGCTATGTACAGGTCATGGTGATTAAGTTCTATTTGTGTAGGTGACCAAACACTTTTATCCTATGAATTCGCGATCGGAAATTTCCTCTAGATGTGAAGTACAGAGATCACCCTTGTCCTTGTCCCAAAGCCAAATACTCCTGTGGAGCTTCTGCTGACGCTGGGGTGACCTTCACGCGGTCGTCTATCATCAGTCCACGCTGAAACAAGAGGTACAAAAAAATGAAAATGCCCCCGCCCCTAAGGCGTCACAAAAAACATGTAGGACGATAGAATAATGTGATCTGTCAGGTAATCAAAATTATTGAGTCAACAAGTCATTTTTATACAAGCAAAGTTGAGTTATAGGAACATAAATGATAACTGTGGCCACGTGTTTTTGGCCTTTGGAGCGAAGCCTGCTAATGCTAGGGTCACATTTCCAAGCCGGGGCCCGGCCGGCCTGTTTCAATTAACGAAAAATCACCAATTTTCGTCAAGAATATACGTAAATAGTTCCATTGTTGATATTTTTCAACCTTTCTGTGCTTTGTTGCGTTTTATACTATATTTTTCGTTCCAAATGACTACCCGGCCGGGCCCCGGTTTGGAAACGTGACCTCAGCATTAGCGCTTCATTGATTTGGTATTGTTTGAATAATATGAGAGTTTAAGAACACGAGAGTTTAAGAACACGTTCCCTAGAGGAAAAAATTGGATACGCCCCACGTGGTCCACATAGAAGATAAGAACTGCCGAGCTTCAAAACACGAAAAGCTTTCCTGACACTATGACATCGAGCTTACTTTTGGGTTGGAGTGTACTCTGTTGTTGTAGAACCCTCCTAACGGTGTCCTCTCCGCTTGTTTCCAGGGCAGGGACCCTTCAGACGGCCCTGTCGGCGCGTCGTGGAAGATGTACCAGATGCCAACCTCCTGTGGACACAGAATGTTGTAGCTAGGGGCAGTTACAGGTGATAAAATTTGCATGAATTAAACACTACACATATGAAGTGCAGGCAATGTGATGCATTGTGGGTAAAGACTTGATAATCATTGCAGCAAAGTAACAACAAAATATTAGTAACCAAACCCGACTTCTTAATGAGAGGGGTGAAAGAGGCTATCACTTATCCGGGACGGGGGCTGACATCGTCTACCAGATACCTTTGACCAAATGTTGAGGTCACACTTCTAAGAAGCCACTGGGTCAGTCTACTGAAGAAGACCAGAGTGACTGCTCTAAGTAAGAACAATCTTTTGTGTTGGAACAAAGTTTTAACACTGACTATGTAACTACCAATACAGAAGAACTTCCATGGTAACAAAAAAAGTCTTCAAATAAGTAGGTTCCTTACGGCAGAGCCAGCAGCAGAGTTGTTGGTCAGCACGTTGTTTGGATGAGCGATCCAAAAAGTGGACACACCCCTGAGTGAACAGATATAATATTGCCCTCTGAGTTTTCCTAGTTGTAACACTGTCTAACTATCATTTTAAGAATTTCAGTCAATTGAAATTGTTTGCACCAGTCGTAGGACACACGAACTGAGTGAGGGATCTAGCGGCTAGGTCATACTTATCTTTGTCGTACAGTTCGCTAGCAGGCTGAGAAAGTAGCGCTAGCAGGCTGAGACAGCAGTGAGCGCCAACAAGAATCTCAGGCGGGAGGCGCCACAAACTTTCTGCAACCTATGACCCACTGCTCAAGGACTCACGTGTGTTTTCTGCGTGACGTCGTGGAAGCGGTGCATTGCTCATTCCTTGATAAAGCGACGGTCACAACTCGCCGTGCGTGCTTTTTGTTCGTACGTTTTTGTCGTGGTCTGCAAACGTAGGGTGGCCGACCGAGGGAGTACGTCACTCGCACGGTTGCGCAAGGTGTACGTACGTGGTCTGCACGACACGCCTGGCCGTCAGCGGTTTCGTGCATCGTACGTTGCGCAAGTGGTAAGTGAGCTGTACGTGCTTACAACGCACGATCTCTGTGCGATTGCTACGTTGCCGCCTACAGGCTGTACCTACACGTGCGGCGTACGCACGGTTTCCTTACTCACTCGCACGTTGTAAGTGCGTGCACCTCCTGTTAGGTCCATCATCACTAGCTGCCCTGGTGTCTTCCGCGGCCCGTTTCTTTGGATCTTGTCTGGTAGTCTTCTTCTGAGCCTTCCTGGGCATCTTGGAGACGAGTTGGCAGTCGCCCGTCAAGTCGTCTTTATATACGGTAGAAATCAGGTGCGTTGCACGTGCGGAGCACCTGGTATGGTGCACGTCTGTTCTGCGTGGTCATTGAGCAGGTCAACTGGGAAGTGAGGAGTAAGCACGGATGACGCAAGCACCGTGCGTGGCACGCACGTGCTTTGTGCGCTGTTCGTACAGCAATTGCACGTGAGAATAGTGAAGTTAGACTCACGGAGTCCGTACGTTGCACGCTCATAGGCTGTACGGGGCACGCGCGTCGCACGTACTCGCACACACGGGTGGTAAATCCGCAGACCGCACGTAGAAAAAGTATTACATGCACTTAAAGTTCTACGGCGTGTCTGCGTGCTCCCAAATCCGTAGGATTCCGTACGGAGGTGGTACTCACCACGTACGGATGCCGTACGATTGCCCACGTTTTTGCACGTAGACAGCACGCAGAAGCACGTACGGCGAGTTGTGACCGTCGCTTAAAGACTGGAGTTGTACAGTCGAAAATTTGGGTACAGGTAGACCATGTGCGAACAAGTAGACCATATATTAAATTTCTTGTGTTTGAAATTGCAGTTCAAGCTTGTTTCATAAGAATCTCAGACAGCCTTTTCCACAACAACTCGGTTTAGCTTGCAATCGTACAACGATCTTGGCCCTGGCACTTACTTGCACTCCTTATTTGGTTCAGGCGTGTAGTCCCCAAACACGGTGTCCGTCATGCGGAGGCACATGTTTTCGTCCCGATCAGAAGGGAGTAATGTGCCCGGCCGCGTCACCAGACCCAAGTTATGGTCCAGAACGTTCCGCTGCTCGTTCCCATCCTCCAGGAAGTAGCAGTGGCCAAGCGTGTCGTACCCAACATTGTCCTGAACCTATAGAAATTATCATCCAAACACTAATTGTATTATAAGATCGGCATATTACAAAACACTGATGTTCTTAAATACGAGAAATCTTAATATGTGTCTATGTCTCCAGAGAATTATCGGTGTGATGGGTTATATATTGCTAATCAAAGATTCTTTCATATAATATAATCCTTCCAAGGTAAATGGTAAATACCAAGCTCAAACGGAAATCATACCCTTCATAGGAAGGCAAATGATGATAGAATATCAGTGTTTAGCATCCTTGGACTTCGTGTGTGTTCCGCATGTCCATTTTACTATTCATATTTAAATGAAGTCTCCTTTTCTCATCCTTCTATCTGTAGACACGTCATTTCCCTTTCTTTGAAGTTGCTTTGCCAAATTCACATCAAGATCACATTGATGCCCAAATAAAGTGTAAGTATACATGTGTAGCCTCCAAGATACGCTACTCCGGATCTGGGGACCAAGGCTAACAAGGCTGGACTCCAAGCTAGTGTAAAATTATGTAAATGTTGTAATTTGACTAGAATGTTATAGAATGTAGATTGTATAATAAAGACAGAAATGGACTGTATAGGTTAAACCTATTTCCTTGCTTCATACACTTGAGCACTGTAGAAAAGTTCATATTCCTAATGCGACTTGACAAACCTTCCATCGAAAAACATATCTGTTCCTTTATCTCTTCTATAGCTGATAATTCTAAAAAGCGAGAAGTTGAATTTATCTAATGATAGCTAGTTTTATTTTGTATATATCTGTTCATCATGTTTTATTGTGACCTGTACTTAGCCCAGTGTGGCAAAAATGTACAATAAAGATCGTTATTATTAATCAATTAATTGATAATTATTAAGTGTAACCGACCAGCAGTCCGTGAGTCCCATGGATGGTCACACAGCGGGAGAAGCAGTGGTGGATGGAAAGTTCTCGGACGTACGCAGGGCGGCTGTAGCCTCCGGCCTCGTCCACGTCTCCGGCCAGGTGGAAGTGGACAGGGTAAGTGCCCAGTTTCTGTCGTCCCATCCGCGTGAACTCCGCCCCGCTTAGGTGGACATTCTTGAATCCAGCCAAAACCTAGAAAATATATGTTATATACCTTATGTTTATTTATTGATTTGATTTGATTTGATTTGATTTGATTTGATTTGATTTGATTTGATTTGATTTGATTTGATTTGATTTGATTTAGGATTGCAAACAAATACAATACTCGTAGGCCACAGGCAGCGGGGGATTGTGTTGTGGCCCACACATGTACACAAAACTATCATAAGCACACAAACAAGACACACATTTAAACCTAATGTAAGTACATAAAAATAAGTATAAGGGTACTAGAAACAACATAGATTAGAATACTAACATATCAGTCCATTTACTACTTGATACTTTAACAGTTCATGCGGTTTCTAGCCGCCAGAATGTTCTCATGTCTGGGGCCACGTCTCCGGGTCAACTGCTGCTTCTGCTGCGTGAGCAGGTGGGCCTGCATTTCTTTGAATTTCTTTTATTATCGTTTTAACGTCTAAAATTCCTCAATCTCTGTTACATGGTAGTTTGACACTTGAATTTGTGCAAGGCAGCCAACACTGACTTGCTGAATGATTCTGCTACACTGATGTAGAACTTGGTCTATCGCATACCGGGACATGCCCCAACTCTTTATTGAAAGGTGTTGTGGGTTCTTTAACGTACGTGGGGTATTGGTCTTCCGGGCATTACCTCCATTTAACGTCCTATCGAAGGGATGTCTCTAACCGAAGCTAGGTAGTCATGTTCACCTGATTGAAGTGAGGAAAGTTGTGTAAAGTGTTGTTCTCATGGTCATAACGTCGGGGCATGTAGGTGGAATCGAACCCAGGACCCATGTGTTCCGGGCTAAATGCCTTAAGCCCCGGTCACAACCCGCCGTACGTGCTTTCTGTCCGTACGTTTTTTGGGAGGCCACGTCTGCTACGTTTTTCTGAAAACGTGGGGAAAAAGTTGGGTCGACGCACGTCACTCGCACGGTTTAGCAAGGTGTAAGAGTGTGGTCTGCACGCCACGTCTGGCCGTGAGCGGTTGCGTGCATCGTACGTTGCGCAAATGGTCAGTGAGTTGTACGTGCTTACAACCTACGATCTCTTTGCGATTGCAACTTTACCGTAAGGAGGCCGTACTCACACGTGTTTCTTCCGCACGGTACGTAAGGGGCACGCGCATCGCTCGTACTCGCACGCACGGGTGGTGAATCCGCAGATCGCACTTAGAAAAAGTTTTACATGCACTTAATGTTCTACGGCGTGTCTGCGTGCTCCCAAATCCGTAGGATTCCGTACAGAGGCGGTACTCAACGCGCACGGATGCCCTACATTTGCCCACGTTTTTGCACGTAGACAGCACGCAGAAGCACGTATGGCGGGTTGTGACCAAGGCTTTACCATTACGCCACACGACGCCATGAAGAGATTACTAGTAGTACTAAGACTGTACCTTTAGATGCCCTCCGTAGGTATCGTAGTTGAAGAACTGACAGTAATTGTTGCCATAGCAACCGTCTTCCATCTCGCTGACGAACTTGACGTTCCTGGTCAGCAGGCCCACCTCCCCACACAGGTCCACATCATCTGCCACCTCACCGAAATGTGTGTACTTGGGTAGTCCTGTAGAAAAGACCCCAGAATTAGTGACGTCATGAATAGAAGGATACATGTAGCTTTAAGATTTTGCAATGGTAAACGAGGATTCCTTCACACAAAAAGTACCAAAAACACAAAAAGGAGATTTATTTTGCATTTAATAAAGGCAAACCTTTATTGAACCAACACGCGGGTCGCTACAGACTTCAACCACCTTTTAACATTTGAATAGCTTTAAGATTTTGCAACTCCAAACTAAAATTTCGTCACACAAATGTACCAAATATGCCAAAAGTAGATTTTTTTGCATTCAATCAAGCGCGACATTAATTGCTCCGAGACGGGGCCGCTACAGACTTCTAACCTTTGAGAAGCTTTAGGATTTTGCAATGGAAAACTAAAATGTCGTCACACAAATGTACCAAATATGCTAAAAGTAGATTTCTTTGCATTTATTCAAGCGCAACCTTCATTGAACAAATGAGACAACACGTCTACACAACCAGGGGACTTACGAGGGGGGCTTCAGTGATCATGTTATGACTTTTGCTTTCCACAGAAACAAAAATCCCAGACATCAACCTAACGTCACATGTAGAAGAGTTTACAAATCTTTTAACGAAGAAAAGTATCGTGAAGATCTTGCCCAAATACCATGGCACATCATCGAAATTTTTCCAACTATAGACGAACAGGTTGAGGTCTGGGAAGAGCTGGTTACCGGTGTAGCTAACACACATGCCCCATTGAAAAAATGCAAAATGAGAGGTACACCTGCACCATGGCTCACTAGCGACCTTCGCCACCTCATTGTTCTAAGAGACAAAATGTACAAGAAAGCGAAACGCTCCGGTAGAGCAAGCGACTTGTCCGACTACAAGGGAATGAAAAACAGGGTGAATTACTTATGCCGCCAGGCGAAAAAAGACCATGCAGCTCAGTCAGTAATACAGGGGTCTGAGGGGGGGAAGGCTGGTGTTTGGAAGGCCATACGTACACTACTACCCAACAAGACTACAAACACTGTTACTTACTTGGAGCACGAAGGTCAGAGCATCTCAGATAGTAAAGGGCTGGCAGAAACGTTCAAAGATTTCTTTCACCAAGTCATACAGGACTTGTGTAGTACTTTCTCAGGGGCTGTATCGCCCTACTCACCTACTCAGTTCATAAACAAAGTAGACAGCACTTTCAGCTTCACACCACTTACAGTAGAGTCTGTCACCGATCAACTATCAATGCTGAACGTGAAAAAGGCCACCGGCCTAGACAGTATCAATCAATCAATCAATCAATCAAAAATGGTTTATTGCTAAAATCACGAACATTGCAGCAGAAGCTGAATTGCGTTCAGAGATGTGCATCATTTCTTTTAAAAACATTAACGACTGCACAGTCAACATATTAAACACATTTAGCATAACGAGATTCAAATTTTGCTCACATTTGCATCTTAAATATCAAAATTACATTTACATTCCATATACAAGTTTCACAAAATATATTAGAGACATTTACAAGTTCAAGAGTAACATCATTTCAATTCATTCAACAGTCTTAAGAGGGACGGTAAAGGGCTGTTGTAACATCTTGTTGTACGTGTGATAGGCAGAGTCCGTCTTGTAGAGTTTCTGAGTTCACGTCGGGTTGACTGTCCCCGGGTTGGAGGTAGCAGGTCAGCAGTTCTCTCTGACTTCTCCATGCTGACTGCAAACTTACGGCACAGGTTGACTCTCCTGTTCTCCAGTGTCTCAAGACCACACTGTTGTAGAGCTGAGGCATAGTCAGTATAGTGCTTTCCCAGGATGGTAAAACAGGCACGTTTTTGTACTTGTTCGATGGTTGCTGCCTGTTGGTGGGTTAGACTGTGGTGCCATACCGGTGCGCAATACTCTAAGACAGGTCTAATAGAACCACAGTATACAGTTACTAAGTCCGCTACAGGGAGGCAGAAAGCTCTCAACTTTCGCAGCATGAACAAACGTTTGCTGGCCTTCTTAGTTGACTCGCTGATCTGTTTGTTCCACTTCAGGTTTGACTGCAGCCATAACCCTAGCACTTTTGCAAAGTCCACAGATTTATGTTATTGATAACAGACTCCTTAAAGCAGGTGCACAGGTCCTTGCTCCATCGCTCACTAACCTTTTCAACAAGTCCTTAAGCTCAGGAGAGTTTCCGACTAAGTGGAAGATGGCAAAAGTCATGCCAATCCACAAAAAAGGGGACAGGACTATGCCGAGTAATTATCGCACAGTGTCCATCCTGCCGGGAATTTCCAAAATACTCGAACGGGCGGTTCACAACCAGCTATACACCTACTTTAACCAACACCAACTGCTCTCACAATGCCAGTCAGGCTTCAGAAAGCGTCATTCTTGTGAGACAGCCCTGCATTTTGTTACAGAGGACTGGATTGAGTCTATCAACAAAAATAACAAACTGGTGTTATCTTCTGCGACCTATCCAGGGCCTTTGACACCCTAAATCATGACATCATGCTCAGTAAACTTAAAGCCTATGGTGTTGATGAAATGTCATGTAGATGGTTCAAGTCATACTTGACAGGCCGTTACAGGCGTACATTGCCTTAACNCAGTCC